GGTAGAAAAAAGAAGTTGTGTGAGCTAAGAGGAAGGGAGCCGATAGGGCATGACAGTAAACTGTCAGCCTTTGTGCCGGTACTAAACGCAGATATCTAACCTTCGTGGTACTATGTGACTGTGATTGATTAATGTACATTAGCGCGGAGAACATGTGAGAATGGATGCTCAACTCCTTGGAAGTGTCGGTAGGGTGTTGTGTGGTGGTGGGGTGAGGTGGGGGTGGGGAGAGCTCCCAGCTGCTGCGATAACGTTGTGGTGTGTTTTGCTAAATAAAAGAGAATAAAAACGACAGCTATGCATCAGGAGTTTGTGTTTTGTGTATTAGATACTGGGTAGCATTGAAATTGAGTTGCTCTGGATGAGTGGCAGTTATGCTGTAGCCGGTGTGAGCGTGCAGTCGGTATTCTATGAGCTTTTCGAACCGCTTGAATAGATACAAGTGAGGATCGTGTAACTTGTACGTTTACACCTAACTTTAATGCAGCCGATGGCTGGTAGACAGAAACCATAACATATACATTGGATCCGTTATACCGAATCCGATGTGGGACCTTTGCAATTTTATCTGAATGCCGTTTGAATCATTATCGATGATATATTATGTATAGCTTGTAACCTTTATTGCCATTGTATGGAGATACAATACTTGATCAGAATATTTCTGGGGCAGTAAACTAGTAGCTAGCGTCAAAGAGTGTGGAAATCGCTGTCCTACCGGTGTAAGAAGTATGCGACGTCCATTTTATAACTTCTGAAAATCCAGCAGAAGAGAGTTTGTTAGCATGTTTTGCAAAACGAAAATGGGTACGTATAAGGTAAGAAGTTTTGGATGAAGACATGAGAGCTGTGGAAATGGAAAACAAACGTAGGGTTGCTGTTATTGTTTCTGCTAGCAAAGAGTAAGCGTTGCGTTGGCTTGTAGAACAGCAAATCACTGTGATAGATCTTAAAGATTGAATGAATGTTTAACGGAAAAGTGATGTGGCCACAAGACTAGTGTCCCGGCCGACAAGGCTTGGGCAGAAATCGTGAATTACTTTGTCTCAATTCGATGGTCGTTAATCGAGAACTATGCCACCAATTTAACTGTGAGTACCCGCGAAACAAAGCTTAATATCTATTTATTCCCATGAAAACTCAACAGCCTCAGCCAGTGCTCACCATTTTTTAAATGGTCGTCGATAAGAATTATCGGCTGCTGAGCAGTGCTTGGTCGTGGAGACCTATGAGTATATCCGCCAAAAGAAATCTGCAGCACCACATCTGTGAAAGGGAAAAGTGCACAAACACGTACATGAGTCTCTAGTCTGCGCGACGGGCGCGATTTTAGCGATATGGGCTCATTGGGAGAAGCAGCACGACAAAACGTTCGCCCAGGTAGATTAAACTTGCTATAATTTCAGTTATTATTGTATTAACCCCTTAAAACCGGAGCGTTTTCATTCCCCTCATTTACCTGAACCCTACTTACTTTAGCGTGTATGTGCGGGTAAGGATTAGTTTACAAAGCTCGATATGTTAAGCTAACGTGTATGCCATCTCGTCTTTACAAAAAATCTAGCCCTAGAGCTGTGGGTTCACCATTATCGTGTTGGTCCAAAATATTCAGGGTCCAACATACACGTTTCGTGACAAACGTGTATAACAACTAGCAAAAATAGTGCAACAATGTGTTAGAGATTCGAATGCGTTATACAACGCGTTGCACACTTTGAGAAGAAATACAACTGATGGGAGCACATGCAACGGCAATAAAAAAATTGGACTCTATTTGCAATACTCAAAGCTATATACATGCAAAGAGTTTGATCAGATGCTCAGTTTGTATCTTCCGTCTCAACTCTACGGCGGCCACGCATGTGTGAATGAGGAGAGGCTCCGCTGGACTCACCACCCGACGACGCTTCTTCCTTGTCGTTGTAGCCTCCACAGACAGTGCTCCCGCTGGCTTACGCGCTCGAATCTTCGCTTAGAGGCCTTGCTGGGCAGCACGCAGCATTCTTCCACGCTTTATGCCGGATTTCAAAGGAAGCAACTGCACCCCCCCCCCCCTTCCCCCGTCACCGTGTGATGCAACTTATCACAGAGGAAGACGCCATGGCTTAGACGCCTTAGAAGTGGTAGGAAGCTTGCACGCACTATAGTATATAGAGAGTCCCCGCCACGCGCATTGCCGGGTGACCTTCAAAAGCGAGC